TCTCTCCTCTGACCTGTCTTTGCCAGCAATGCCTGCCCCGTGCTGGAGATTCAGTGCTTTCCCCGCAGCTGCACCGATGGTCCGGCTGAGTCAGCAGCATCGGCCCGTAAATGGAAACAGATGAAGTGGAATATGTTCTTTCTCAGGTATTATTTTGAGATGTTCTGAAACATACCGGCACTTTTTCTGATTTTGTTCCAAGTTTCATGAGGAGCAGTTCCATGGAATACTTTTTTGACCTTGGCTTCAAAGTCGGTGTTAATCACGCGGGTTTGAACAGAGTCAGCAGTTTTGTTGAACTTTGCCCTTGCCCTGTTTGTTAATTCAGCTTGGACTCATTCTGTTCTTGGAATTTAGATTCTTATTTCATAATGAAAAATAAAAACAACTTTGGAGGGGTAGCCAGCAGCGACCGCTGAGTCATAGCTCTTTAATTTACAGGGAACTCCATGAAACCTTAGTGTTCACTTCTGCTGAGAGTTTCATAAGAATGAAACTTTTACTTTGTTTAAGAGCCTAGGTTAAATATTTACTTGTGTGATGAATTTTCCAGTGGAGTTTGGAGCTACAATTGGTGAAGCTGAAAAGCTGCCATTTTGGGTGTTGCAAGCAGTTTGTGCATTTTAGGATGGAAACAAGAATTTTTGTTTAGGGCAGATCTTCAATTTGTTCTGGGTAATAACACTTTGGTGACTTCTTTTAATTATTCAGATGCTAACAAAATACCCATTATTTTGGAGAAATCTCAAGCCAGTAAAATAATTCAATTGGGATGTGACAGGTCCTGTTTGAAAGAAAATTAGTGTATCTCTAGCAGGATAATACTGTCTTACTCAGTTTCGGCTGCTATGACAAAAACACCATAGATCAAGCGACTTAAACAATAAATTTATTTCTTACAGTTTATTTATTTCTTGCAGTTTTATTTCTTACAGTTCTTACAATTTATTTCTTACAGTTCTAGAGGCTGGGAGTCTGAGATCAGGGTGCCAGGAGGATTGGTTTCTTGGTGAGTGCCCTCTTCCTGGTTTACAGAGGAGGATGCAATGTATCTCTTCTTAGAAGGGCACTAATCCCATTCATGACCTCCACCTGCATGAGCCAAGCACCTCCCAATGGTCCCACCTCCTACTACCATCACATTGGGAGTTAGGATTTCAACATATAAATTTTGGGGGGGTACCAACATTCAATCCACAACATCTTTGCAGTGGGGAGGACAAGAAGTGAGTCCACCATGGTGTGATGGCTTGGTAATGTGCCCACATGGCCAGGCTGAGCTGTATTTCCTAGAATTCCCTTTTCTTGTGTGTTCCCACTTTGGGTCCCTCATGAGGGATGTGCTTCTGCGGCCAATTGAAGTTGTTATAACCTGGGTCACATGACCAAAATATGGAGGAGTGGGGCATGTATGAAATGTGTGTCAACCTAAAATAATCCAGAGTCAGAATCTAGTTCAAAGGGAATTTATTCAAGCCCAAAGTTTGAGTATGAGCCGTCTGGGAAGCAGAGATTCCAAAGAATGGAAGTCAGTGTTCCAAAGTGCAGAAGTTTTGGATCGTGGATATAGACAAGGTTTAGGGAGGCTTAACAGAAAGAATTTCGACATCTTTCTACGTAAGGCTTGATCCATAGCTACAATGATCTGATTAGTTGAGGTGGTCTTTTTCCTTCTTTTTCTTTTAAGAGAGGTATATCTAACATTTCACACTGAAGATGTAACAGTCATTGGTCTTGGGTGCCATCGGGTCTGAGTTAGGTACAGGACAATAGAGGAGTCAATCTGCAACAAAGATCAGTGATCGGAAGAGGGGACAGCCTGGTCACTGGTGTCTCCCAGTCACTTACAGAACGCGGAGGAAGAGAGCTAATCCATAATCTGTTAATGAGAAACAGAACTGCAAACATGCTACGTGACTCCTGTCTCCAGGGCTTAACTTCCTTGCCATAATAAATTTAGAGGGTCCTAAAATTTTTTCTTTGGCACGTGTAATAATTTCTTTTTGAGAATAGATTAATTCTGATTTACAACAGAGGAGTTACAGGTCTTAGGAGCCAGACGGGAGTATAAACGTCACAGGCTGGCTGTCTTCCTTCAGCAGGCCTCCAGATACGCTTCCCGGCTCCTTTCCCCCAGAGCCTCGCTTCCCCTCCTCTCCCTGCAGGCTCTTCTGCCTCCAGACCTTCCCCTTCCCCCACGCCCCGCAGCCCTCTCCTCCCGGCGCCTCCCTCTGGGCTCCTGCGTTCGGGGTCGAGCGCTGGCCCCGCCGGGATCCCGGCGCCCCCGGTCCGGCGACCACTTCCCGTCCGCGGGAGGCGCCGCCCTCCCGGTCCCCGCCCGCCCCGCGCGCGCCGGGCGGTTCTGCGGCCTCGGGACAAAGTCCGTGCGCGTCCCGGGACGCCAGCGCCCCAGCGTGTGGCAGAGGAGGGCTTCGCCGCGTGCACAGGTAAGGAACTCCCCAAAGTCTGTTTCCAAAAGCTGACCTTCGTGGAAGTAATACCTCGTTCTTGCGGAAGAGTGGCCCCCACGATCGCACGCGTGCGAGGCGCCGCTCCTTGCACCGAGGTATGTTCCTGTAGGTGATTAGCCGCGTACATTTTAAAAACATAGGTGCAATCCCACGCCAAGCAGACCTGCATTCGTTTTTGCCACTCAACACAGTGTGAGGAGCCTTTTCTCCAGGCCGCTAAATCCTGTTTGTAAGTATTTTCCTGCAGTTAGACATCGTGGTGGTATAGTTTTTAACTAATATAAAACTATGAAAAACCTGAGCATATTTGCACGGAAATCGGTATGTACATTTGGCAGCAGTTCCTTAGTGCGGTTATAAACAGGGGAGGGGCTGGGTCCAAGAGAGGGACTTCCGATCTAGATGCTGGGTGGGTGCTGCCAAGAAGGACTGTACTGTTTACACACCGCAGCAATGCAGGTTGGCAGGCCCGGCCAACACTGGGCCCTGAGATTTATGTCCACTTGCTGATGGAAGGTACCACCTGTTGTTTTCAAAGCCCATTTAAAATAAGGTGCTCAGAAATGAGCCCTGCTGGTATCTGGGGAAGCCTGCCCAGGCCTGGGAACAGCCCTAGAAAAAGCCAAAGGCAGGGGTGCATGTGCAAGGAGGCCAGCATGTGCTCATCGTAGATAGCTTCCTAATTCATGCTGTCTTCACTGTACACCCTGTGGAAAATACAAGCATGAGTGCTGAAGAATAAATACTTGGAAGAGTTGGTGTGCATAGAATCATCTGAGGATGATATTGGCCTTGCCTTTCCCACTCCAAGTTTGAAAATCAGCTGGCATGCAAGTTCCTACAGTGTTTAATCAGTAAAGAAACAAAACCCCCCAGCCCTTCCCTGTTAGATACCACCCCCTATGTTGTCTTGGAGTGTCCCCTTTAACCCTGAGCCCCTGTTGCGTACACTTGGTTTCCATTTCTAACTTTTTAAAGCTTACGGCAATTTATTCCTTTGATTGGTACGGTTGCATCTGTATCAGTCTTTTCTGCTCACCAAGATATGTTTTCTCTGTTTCTGTTGGAGAACTGTTGTGTTGGGAAGTCTGACTTCTGAGTTACTTAAATCCTTGGGGTATGAAAGCAGGAAAACCATACTCCCACTGTCCTTTACCATCCATTTCTGACTTCCAATGGGGAAAAAGGAATGTTGTTCGATGACACTGTGAAAAGATAATTTTCAGCAAAAGGTAAAATCTTGACTTTCATACAGACATAAAAATGAACACATGGTAAAGATTTTATTTTATTCATTAAAGAGAGAGACAGATGTTATAGCTGGTTCAAAAAAGAAGTCAAGAAGTGCACTTTTATACAGGGTAAAGGAATGCCTCAGGAAGGTGTGCCCAGGAGAGGGGCATACCCTTGGAATTTGCAGATCCCATGCTCCACAGCGATCCCCACAGGTTTTGACTTGTAATTTTGCGGAGGGACTGTCCTATGGGAGGCAGGGCTGGAGAGGCCACAGAGTCACTCTGTTGGGAGAAGGCCTGCTGGTGATCCATGATACATAGGCACTATCGTGCATGAATTTTTATGAGGGAATTGTGCATTTGTTTTGCTAGCTAGTGTGGGCATTGTCGAAGAACATGGCCACCGGGGCGTCCTCTGCAGAGGCATGCGTTGGCCATTGCTGGAGCCACGAAGAGTACCCTGACTTCCAGAGAGGCTTCACCAGTGGAAACCACAGACCTGATCTAGATGGGCCAAACACACTTGCCATGATGCAGAAATCTTTTTTTTGTTTTTTGTTTTTTGTTTTTTTTCTGGAGACAGGGTCGCCTGGGCTAAAGTGCAATGGCACGATCATAGCTCATTGCAACCTCCAACTCCTAGGCTTATGCAATCCTCCTGCCTCAACCTTCCAAGCAGCTGGGACTACAGGTACATGCCACCATGCCCAGCTAGTTTTTAAATTTTTTTGTAGAGGCAGAGTCTTGCCATGTTCCCCAGGCTGGTCTCGAACTGGCCTCAAACTATTCTTTCACCTTGGCCTCCCAATGTACTGGGATTTCAGGCGTGAGCTGCTGTACTGGCAAGAAAAGCCTTTTTTGACACACGTGTCTTGAGGACCCCACCATGGATGCCAGACACACAGTCCTGCCCCATGCAGGAGAAGGCTGAAGCCTTCTTCTTCACAGTGAAGGATCCTCTCCTGTGTAGGAGAGGTTTTGTGCTTCAGTGGAAAAGTATCTGTGTCTATAGCATACCCTCTGGGCTGATTCTGGCCCTGTTCTTTGTATTTGAGCCATTTTGCAACTCTTTGTAAGTCATGGGTAAATGATAGATCTATATTTGTAAATTCCGTCTTTTTTCTGTACAGAATTAATCAACTGCTTTCCCTACTGTGGAAAGACGTTTTGCCTCCATTTGCAATTTATCTCAACATTTCTTCACCGCATATAAATTTATGCTTTTCTGACTTTTCCTTCAAGCCAGTGAGAACATCTGCCTCGCTTCCTTCTATCATCTGAATAAAATAAAATCCTTAACATGTGTTTGTTTTTATATTTGTTTAAGAGTCATGGTTTTACTTTCTTCTGAAAATTGTCTTTTAATAAATGTGTTATTTTGGGGAGAAAAAAGCAAAAATCCCAGAAGGTGTATACAGAAAATGTGCTTACAGTACAGTCAATTGAGGGTCAAGGGTAGCAACCTTGCCCATCCTGCCCCACTGCGGTCTTGGCTCCCAGGCCCGGCCTAGATGCTACCCCACGTGAATGCGCCACACCCAGGCCTCTCCCACTGGACAAAAACCCTTCGAGATCAGTCCAGAGCGCTGCTCTGCTGGCTGTAAACATTCCTTCTGGAAAGTGGATATCAAATGAAGAAAAAGTAAAAAAAATTCAGATCAGAGGATGCGTTGGAATGGCCAGCCAGGCTTTTCTGTTATCCCTGGGTCCTTGTACGACAGCCCAGGTAAGAAATCGGTCCAAGGAATTGGTTCTCAACAAACAGTGCTACTGGCACAACATTTGCTGTGATTAATGCTGAATTATTGTCTGTTACTAAGAACAGTTCTATGATGTAGCTTATGAAAACAAAACCAAGAAAACTAGTGTCCTTTGTCCTTGATTGGAGAACTAGTTATTAATCCTTTTCTCCTTAAAATCAAATTACTTGATTTCTAATTATGAAAGACGAAGAATATTCAGTGAAGTGCAGGAAATAATGCAACAGCCACCTATTTTCCCATCACTCAGATTTAAAAGATAATACCATTTTGTCCCATGTACTTCAGATCAAAACATTTTAAGGAAATGAAATGTAACAAATACAATGAAAGCCAGCAATTCTCCATCCCTCCCCACCTCCCTTCCAGTAACTACTGTCCTAATGGTGATGTGTTTAATTCTCGTACATGATGCTTTCACTACAGTTTATTTATTAATAAAATATATATTATTTTTGGTTGTTATTTAGCATCAAAATAGCAGTTGTCTTTTCACATAGTGTTTTGTTTTTGAGGCTTATCATATTGATAAATATAGATGCAGTTTGTTCATTGAACTGCCATGTCATATTCTTTTCTTTCGATGCATGGATCTGTGTCCTACGGCTGCTGTCACAAATTGCCACAAACTGGGTGGCTTGAAACAACAAAATTGTCTCATAGTTCTGGAGGCCAGGAGTCTAAAATCACAGAGTCAGCAGGGCCTTGCTCTTTCTGAAACCTGTGGAGAATCCTTCCTTGCCTCTACCAGCTTCTGGTGGCCCCTTCCAATCCTCCTCACTCCCCGGCTCGTGGGAGCACCACTCCAGTCTCTCCCTCCCTCTGCACATGGCCTCATCTTCTGTGTGTCTGTCCTTACGTCCAACTGATCCCCTTCTTATAAGGATACCAGTCATTGCATTTAGGGCCCACCCTAATCCAGCATGACATCATCTTGACTTCATTACACCCACAAGGACCTTATTTCCAATTAAGGTCACATTCACAGAGACGGGGGGATAGGACTTGAACAGATCTTTTTGGGAACCCAATTCAACCACAGCAATGAATAAATTACAGTTTATTCCATGCTCTTGTTAGTTGTCAATTAGGTTGCTTCCAATTGTTGCTGTCACATTGGGAATGCCAAGAACATCCTTCCATGTTCATGGCGTGTGCCCGCGTGTATGTGTGCGAATTTCTCTAGAGAAACAGCTAGTGGTGGGATTTCTGGGTTGCGGGGTGTCTTCCCATTTTCCTGACCTTGCCAGTCTGCCTTCCGGGGTTTGTGTCAATTTGCACTCTCTCTCATTTCCCTACTGCTGCACCCCATCTGGGTATTAACAAACTTTTTGCCGATCTGCAAGATGTAGAATGGTATTTCATTGTTGTTCTTAGTACAAATTATTTAAATACAGTGAGGTTGCCTATCTTTGCATGTGTTTATGGGCCATTTGGGTGTGCTCTTTTTTAAATTGCTCATTCATATTTCTGGAGCATTTTCCTATTGGGTTGTCTTTTTCTTGGTGATTTAAAAGAATTCATCATATATTTTATCTAGATACTAAGTCCTCTGTTTCTAAAATAATACCTTCTCCTAGTCTATCTTATTTTCTCAATTTATGGAGCCTTCTATTTTATTATTAATCTTAATTATTATCTTATTAATCATACTATCTTAGTTATCTTATTAATGAAATTTTAAAAGCCTTTTGTTGTGGCAAATACCAAGTGTATACACAGATAGAGAGGAGTGCAGAGGATGCTCCTGACCTCACGCCCGGCGCCAATGCTGTCACCACAGGGACATCTCCATCCCGACCCCACACTGAGCTATTCTCAAGTGAATCCCAGACGCCTGATCATTTCATCTGAATCTACAAAAAGACAAGGACTCTTTAAAAAAAAGTAACTGCAATGCCATTATCTTCCCCTGCTAAAATTAACAATTGTCAGTATCATCAAAAATATCCACTCGGTATTCAATTTTCTGCAGTTGTCTTGTTTCTTTCTTTCTTTCTTTTTTTTTTTACAGTTGGTTGCAATGAAATGAGATTTGTTAATCCTTTTCTTTATGGTATATGCTTTTTGGGTCTAATTTAAGAAATGCTGCCTTATTCCCAAGTACAGGAAAGACGTGTTCTCCCATATTTTCCTCTAACAGCTTAGCTTTGCTTTTCCAACTTAGCTTTGTCTGACATGCTCCTTGCGTGTGGTGCGCTGGGATCCATCACGGTTTGTTTTCTCACCTGGGCGGCTGTGTTGCATCATCGCCTCTTTCAACCCATGATAGCTGTTGAATTTTATCAAAATGCTTTTTTCTGTATCCATTGTGATGATGACATGGATTCACTCCTTTAATTTGTCAGTATCGTGGATTACATCATAGAATCTAATGGCAAACCATCCTGGCATTCCTGATGTGGTCATGATGTATACATTTAAAAACATATTTTAGTGTGCTAGTATTTCACTTAAGATTTTTGTATCTAAACTTATAAGTAAGGAATCATTCAGTTTTTCATTCTCATCTTGTCCTTGTTTAGTTTTTGTATCCATGACATAGCCAGATTTTATTTGCTCCAAGTTGACATTTACTCCTGACTTTTTTTTCTCTGATTAGTGAATATTTCTGGTCAGGTTCCCCCACCCCAACTTTCTACTATGAAAAGTTTTCAAATATGGAGAAATGGAAAGAATAGTATAGCAAACACCTACATGCTGATCATCTGGATTCAGTAATTCTTGGCGATTTGCCATATTGGTTTATGTATCTATTAATGTATGTGTGTTGCGTGTGTATTTTGTGAAACATTTGAGAGTAAATCACAGATGTTATGACACTTCATCTCCCAGCACTTGAGCACACATCTTCTATAATAAAAATTAGGAACATTCTCCTACATAACCACTATCATCACACCTTAATCACACCTTATAAAATTATTAATAATATACAGTGTCAGCTTTCATTCGTAGTTAATCCCTCAGCTGTCTCTCAACTGTCTCCCGTAGCTGTTCCCGATTTTGAACCAGGATCTAGTTAGGGTTCACATGATGCAGTGGGGTTTATTTCTCTTCCGTTTCTTTTAATCTAGAGCTGTCTCACCACCTTTTTTTCTTTTACACCGGTTTTTGAACTGAGGCACATAACATGGTTGGAAAACATACCCTCTCTGTTCTGTTCTACCAAGTTGTCAGTTTTGTTGGGTCTTCGACTTCATCAGCAAAAAGCTGTTTGAACTAATTTCTTATGGTTTTTAAAGAGAAAATCTTTAATTATGTCACCTTTTCATTCCAGATATTGTTTCGTTGTTATGTGTGTTTAGCATTCTTTCCTTTCTATTTGGTTAGTTTTGCTGGAGATGTGCCTGTTTTATAACTCTCCAAGGGATCAGATTTTAATCGTTTTGGATTTTCTCTATTGTTTCTTTATTTTCATCTCATCATTCTCTCTTTGTAGGATTTGCTAGGGTCTGAATGTTTGTATCTGCCCAGAATTCACACGTTGAAATCCTCACCCTGAAGGTGATGGTGTTAGAAAGTGGGGCCTTTGGGAGGGGACTAGGTCCTAAGGGCAGAGACCTTGTGATTGGACTTTGTGCCCTTATGAAAGAGACTCCAGAGAGCTGGCCGGTCCCTTCTGTCCTGTGACGATCCAGGGAGAAGGTGCCGTCCAGGAAGCAGAAAGTGGGCCCTTCCCTGATCCTGAATCGCCAGTGCCTTGAATCTGGACTTCTCGGCCTCCAGAACTGTGAGAAATACATTTCTGTTGTTTATGGGCCACCCAGTTCATGATATTTCATTACAGCAGCCTGAACTGTTCTCTAATCTACCTATGTCCTTGAGTTCAGTGTTCCCGGTTCCGCCTTTCTGATGGAAGCTTAATTTTTTAAAAATCGAATTTGAGAATCTGTGTCAGCTAGTGAATTTAGTCTGTTTACATTTATTTAAACTTAGGCTGGTCCGCAGGTTATTTCAATTGATAGTTCACAGTCAGTTACAGACTGAACTCCTTGTTCAACTCTTTTTTTCCCCGTGACGACTGCATTTGAGTAGACTTAAAAAGTAAATAAACTTATTTCAGCCACATTATTTCATGCCTTGTAGTTAACAGGTTTTTTATTTTCTTTTTCTTTCCTACTTTCTATTTTGATTCATCAAGGTTTTTTTAGGTTTCCTCTCATTTCAAACCCCATTCTCTTCATAAATCTCCCCTGGCAGTTGTATCTGCTGATTTTTGTTTATTTGAATCACTTCTTTGTGTGTAGTTTTTTACAGTGAGCTCCTCCTTGGTGGGGTAGTGTTTTTGGCCTGCGTTGCGGAAGTCTTGCTAGAAAGTGGTCTGCATTTGCCTCTGCCAGGTGTTCCAGGGGCTTTGCTGACCGAGGGTCGTTGTATTGATTTCTCAGCCGAGGCATTCCCCTTGCAAGGATCCTGTAGGGCTGGGGATGGGTTTCTCTTTTCCCTTCCACTCAGAATTTAGAGTGAGATGAGCTTTTCCATATTCCTAATCCTGGTTGATGGAGCTGTTCTTGTTTTGTTTTGGCTTCCCCTTCCCCCACATGTGAACCTTGAGGGCTCAGCGTTGCAGGGTGGGTCTCGGTTACAAATTCCCGTCTCATGTGGTCCCAGGGCCTCTTTGGACACAAAATCCTAAGCACTCGGTTTTTAGGGTGTGTTCCTGGGTCCAGCCCTGTCTCCCAACTTTTCCAGGTGCCTCCGGCGTCTCCTGTGTCTTCCTCACTCTGGCTTTCCATTTCCTCTCCAATCCTGGCTCCTGGGGAGTCCCTTTTTTCCTATGAGCTCCTCCGTTTTTATTTTTCTTTGTTGGTTTCATTCAATCTGTCATTTCTAGTGTTTGCAGCCTTAATCTGTGGTGTTGCCAGAACCAAAAGTTACCTTTGATTTCTTACACAATAAATACCATAGATGTAGTTAAAATTAATTTCGTTTATATAATTTTTTTTTTTTTTAGAGACAAAATCTTGCTGTATTGCCCAGGCTGGAGTGCAGTGGTGCATTCATAGCTCACTGTAGCCTTGAACTCCTGGGCTTAAGCGATCCTCCCACCCTACCCTCCCAAGTAGCTGAGACTACAGGCATGCGTCACCATGCCCAGCTAATTTTTCTTATTTTTTTGTGGAGACAGGATCTCACTATGTTTCCCAGGCTGGTCTCAGACTCCTGGCCTCAAGCTGTCCTCAGCCTTGGCCTCCTGGAGTGGTGGGATCATAGGTGTGAGCCACTGCACTCAGCTGATATAACTCATTAGATTTAAAAGTGCAGAACTAAACACAAAATAACCTAGTTAAATTTCTTAAGACTGGCTGACAAGGTGTATGCATGTGTAATGTCTACACATTCATAGTAACTTCTTAAACGATATATAAGAAACTGGAAACAATGATGGACTTCAGGGAGAACTGGATGGCTGGTGAACAGGGGAAGGAGGGACGTTTGCTTTTTTCTGCTGTATACCCTTTTGTACCATTCCACTTTTGTCCCATGTGCACATATTATTAAAAATCATAATTCTTAAAAAAAATTTTTTTGTGGGGGGGTGAGTCTCACTATGTTGCCCAGGCTGGTCTCAAACTCCTGGCCTCAAGTGATCTTCCTGTCTTAGACTCCCAAAGTGCTAGGATTACAGTTTTTTCTGTAATCTCGATTTTAGTTTACTTACTATTTACAATCTTTAGATTTGTACCATTCAGAATGTAACGTGTGTTTCTCTCTTCATAGGCTGACTTAGATATCTCCAATGGCTAACGAGGCTTACCCTTGTCCATGTGACATCGGCCATAGGCTAGAATATGGAGGGATGGGGTGTGAAGTTCAAGTCGAGCACATCAAGGCTTACGTCACCAAGTCCCCTGTTGCCGCAGGCAAAGCTGTGATTGTCATTCAGGATATATTTGGCTGGCAGTTGCCCAATACCAGGTATATGGCTGACATGATCGCAGGAAATGGATACACGTACGTATGCAATTCTGTTCCTTTGTTTACACTCACGTACATTTCTGTGGTTTATTTTGTTCCCTGACTATACAGTATTCTAATTTTCATCATCTACTTCCCTGTCACTATGGTGAAGGTAAATGGGAAATGTATGAAATGAAGCACCCACCGGGTGGAAGCCAACTGCTCCTAACCCGGTCCCTGGGCTCTGTGTTCTCCTGGGAGTACTTGGCCCTATGGGCTTGTTGGACACTAGTAGTTCTCTCCCCATGTGGGGCCCTGGCCAGGCGCGGGCGCTGGACCCTTGGGCAGACCTAGCCAGCTCTGCAGTGGGCCCGTTACTTGGCCCCTGAAGCATCTCAGCCTCGTGTCAGATTTCATGGGCTACTTGGACGGCAGGGTGTCCATGGCTCTTCCTGGTCCAAACATGTCCCACCATGGCCCAGTCTGAATTAGACAGGGTCCGGAAATCATACAGTGAGACCTTGCTTGTCTCCCAGAGTTTACTTCTTTGTCCGTCCAGGTGGCCATGGCCACCGTGGGTGAGGGCTGCCACCTGTTTGCTTGTCATTTGCTGGAGTTGGCAAAGGCTTCAGGAAAGCCCAGAGGAGAGCAGGAACCACTCCTTCCTCCCCCGCTTCAGAAAGCGTGAACCCAGCAGGCTCGAGCCCGCGCACCGCCCCAGTTTCCGTTGTTTTCTCAAAAAGAGAAGATGGAAGCCCGAGGGTGCGCCTACCTTCTTTTTCTAGGAAGAGAAACCGGTTTGAGGAAATCACACCCACCGCTGCCCGAGGCACACTGAGGGCCTAGTGAAAACATCTCACTCGATGCTTCCCCTTTTTCCGTCCTGGGTTCCCTCTTGAGGACGAGGCGGCCGAGCCTCCCAGGGGAAGCCCAGTGGTTAAAACGCAGCCGAGCCCGACTGCCTTCCCTCAGCCGGACCCTGTGCTCAGGGCCTGTCCGGGGTCACTGCCCTCACACCTTCCAGCAGCCCCTGAGGGAGGAAGCGCTGCTGCCCGCCTTTTGCAGAGCGGAAAACCATAACGACAGAGGTTGGCGCCTGCTCCAGATCTCCCAGACATAAGCAGCAGGCTGCCGGGATTTCGGTTTGTGTTGCTTTATGCTGGGTTCTTTAGCTGGAGTCACAGCGTAACGGTGGTGTGGACACCTGGGACTTACCAGGCACTTTGACGCTTGCATGGCTGACTCTGCTGGCGGGGTCGTCCCGAGGCTGGGCGGCGCAGGGTGCTACTTGTCAGATCAAGGACATGAGGATAACAGTGGTTAAATGACCCGTTAAGGTCACACGGCAGTGTAGGGTGGTACTGAGCCTTGAACTCGGAGCTTCTGACCCGAGTGTCAGTGCTCTGTGTGCCCTGCAGGACGAGGTGTGTTCCTCCAGCCGGGCGGCGGCTCTTTATTTTAGGAAACAGGCCTCTGGCCGGGGCGACTCGTGTGGAAGAACGACATGGACTCTGGCGAGGCTTGTTTTCTCTCGGCAGCCTCTTTGAGAACCTGCTTTAGACCATGCCCTTTGGACGGGAAATTGTGCCCTGCTGGCGTCTTGGGTGGAGGCTGGTGAAAACTGCCTGGTCACAGTGACTGGACAGGCTCACCAGGTGTGTCCTCCAGCCCGAGGCTCAGGTGAAAGGCCAGGGAGCTCCAAGGCCGGCGAGAGGGGCAACTCCTCCAGGGCAGCGGGGGGGCCTTGCAGCCACCCTCCCCAGGCCCACGTGCCCAGGTGCCCCCTCGGCCTGTGCCAGCGTCTCCGGCGGGGAGTGTGCCCTGCCGGCGGCCTCGCGGTTTCCCGGGGTCGGGTTATGAGCCGGCCACCAGAGGCCGTGCACCTGCGGTTGCGACGCCCACAGTGGCCTGGTGCCAGGTGGCCTCTTTGCTGCGATCGAAGTTGCCCTCACACCCGCTACTTTTCCTTTCCTCTGAGCTAGAATCGCTAACCCAGCAAGGTTCTCAATAAATGTAAGCAACTAAACGAGTCCAAGCAGTTCTGAAACTAAGATCAATTATCGTCCATATTTTATAGAACCATCGTTCCAGACTTCTTTGTAGGGCAGGAGCCGTGGAACCCCTCTGCCGACTGGTCCACCTTCCCCGAGTGGCTGAAAACGAGGAACTCCCAGAAGATCGATAAGTAAGTTTCAGGGGACAGGGCTGTGTGTGTGTGTGTGGTGTGGCCCAGAGAGCTGGGCTGGCTTCGCCGCTCAGACTCCCCCGTCCACACCGCCAGGCAGGGCATCGTGTGGCTGCAGCTGAGAGTCCTTCCTGAACGTAAAGGAAAAGTGTTTTCATGTAGCACAGTTCTGAGCTGAAGATTGGGAGCCGGCAAGCACTCCTGCCGCCCCAGCAAGCTCACCCGTGCCCCTCTCTGAGACACTCTCGGTGGCACCGGTGTGCAGGGGAACCTCGTGGAGGTTTTGGGCTGGATTGATTACCCCGACTGTGGGGCTTCGGTCCTCAGGGCCAGCAGCCCCTTCCTCCCCTCCTGGCTGCAGAACCAGCTGAGGAGAAGGGCTAGAAAAGCAACTAGATCCAATGCCAGCCTCAGTACTGCTGAGCTGGTTGGAAACCACGGTTTTAGATCTGAGACCCAAAGGGCCACCCGCTGCCTCCAGCCTCAGTCCAATGCCACTCCATCGGAGTGGGATTTTGGGAGATTTTGAGTCTTCAGAGCAGATACACCTGACCAGGATTGCTCTTGCCGGGGTCCAGGGGTAATAGGAAGACAGGGAGGACCCCCCAGGCTGCAGACTTTGCCTGTATTTGCTCTGCCCAGTCTAGAAGGACCAGAGCTGTCAGCCACCGGTCACCTCTCCTTCCTTCTGTCTGGAGGTCTAAGTACAGAGGGGGGAAGAGGCCAGGAATGTTCTCTAAGGACAAGCTCCTCCTGCACAAGAAAGCCTGAGCCCAGGGGAAAAGGGTTCCCCAGCACTAGCCGCTGACTCGAGTGGCCATTTCTCCGCAAGCCCTCTCCTCTGCATCACCTGACTCTCCCTCGCACTGTGCACGTGAGCCCCAAGATTGATCACTGTTGGCCTTCTGTTTGATAAGCTGTACCTCAAGCCCAGGCCAGGGTGACTGCTAATAATGTGGCCACCCACCTGTGGCCACTTGGTCCGTGGAACCCTCCGCCCCTTTTTCTACCACGAGAGTGCCTGAACTTCTCAGCTCTCCGAAGAGCTGACTCTGGGGCTGCTGGCCTCCCTCTCTTGGTCTGGTGGACACTGGGCAGCCCTCTGCCCACAGCCCATGTCAGCTCTGCAGGGGCCTCCGGTGTCCTCAACTCCGCCTTGCCTCCCCCACTCACGGGGGGCCAAAGTCTCCCCTGTTTTGGCTGCCCCCTTTCTAGGGGCTGATGCAGAATAGCAGTGCTTCGTGGCTCAGGCCAGGGGCTGCCCAGGCCTGGGTCTCCCTAGGGTCTCTGTGGGGTCTTGTCGGACCATGGGGAGAGGCTGCAGGCTGCCCTTGGAGCTTCCAGCCTGGCTGAGTACCCGGGACTGTGAATATTAGACAGTATTAACCTCAGGGTCCTGCAAGTAGGAGACCAGGGCTAGATGCTGTAGCATCGATTCCACCTGGTGAAGCCCTGGTCCTAGAGCAGATGAGACCAAACATGGTGGGGCTGCAAAGGGCCACCTGATCTGTCTTCGGGAAGGAAGGACCTGTTTCCCCTGCTGGGAGAGCTGCCTGCAGAAAGCCCTCAGCTCTCTAGGATGTCGGCCACCTTGTCTGAGTCTGCCCCAGTGAATGGTCACTGTAGGGGTGTGAAGGCCCAGCTCCCTCACCTCTAAATGAGGTGACCTCAAGGGCCATGCCAGCCCCCCCAGCACAGCACAGCCCCACGTCTCTGCCAGTCCTGCGCCCTCCCCTGCCTCTCCCCCAGGGAGGACCCCAGGAGCGCCCTCAGTAAGCCTCCTGCATACTGTTGTCCAAATCCAAGCTGGCTTCCCAGGGATCCAGCCTGCCATCCCAAGAAAAACAAAGCAAGACGTTAAGAGTACATTAGAAGAGGAAACACAAGAGAACCGGAAAGACTGTGGCACTAAGAATATAAAATTCATCTTTGCCGGTGGGGGTGGCATGGGGGGTGGGGAGAATGGTTAGGACATTTTGCTGTTTTCCAAGAAAATGCCGTGTGGGTCTGCCTTGCATTGTGACTGGTGCAGGCAGGCATTAGAGCCCCCTGAGACTCTTCCACAGGGTAAAAGGAAAGCCACACTTCTTAAATTAAAGGGAGGCATAAAATGGAAACAGTAACTTTGGAAGTAGACACAAGTCCTGGTGTCATATCCAGTCAGGTGTGTTCTCTTTGCAAGGACAGAAAACCGATCCTGAATGCTTACTGCTTAAGGGGTCAAGGGATTTGTATTGGTTTATAGAACTTGAAAAGAGGTAGTTGTTGGCCTCAAGCAGGGTTTCGTCCATAGCTTAAAAGATGTCCCCAGAACTCATCCTCCCAGCATCTCTCAGCTCCAATTTCTGTATGACGGTTCCATTCTCAGGCAGCTCTCACCTCTGGGTGGCAAAATGGCTGCAGCAGCTCCAGCCTTCTGTTGGTCTCTCTCCCAGCAACTCAGCAAGTCTCATTTTGTCCCCTTGTTTATGATTGGGCCAAAAGTCCATCCTTGAACTAATCATTGTGTCCAGGAGATTGCTAAGCTTTGATTGCCCAAGCCTGAGTCATGTACTTTACTGCTGGAACTGAGGGCAGAGCCACCCAAGTATATGGCCTGAGCATGGGGAGAGATTGTTCCTCCGAAGCTGAATCCTGGTGTTCCTAGAAAAGCAGGGAACAGACTGGGAGCAACAAGAGCAACGAATGTAACACAGTTCACTTGAGTCCGTTAAAGAATTTTTACAGAAATGCCTTCTTCCTTCTTGTCCTTTCCAATTAAGGCAGTTATTCCTAAGATCAAAGCATTCAAGAAAAAATCTAAAACCAAAAAGGACAAAAACTATTCCTTGCTACACTTTATTTTGTGGAATTACTTAAATACTGCAAGAGAACATTATGAAATAACTGCTTGCACACAGAATGGTATGATACATAAGTTTAAATGTGTTCAAATATATGTTATGATTAAAAGAAAAAATGGGTGCTATAGAATTGCATTGTACTTACATTTTTTAATTTTAAACATACAGCATTTCTTCCCTACCAGATTAAACAGAACTTTCTGGGCTGGCCTTGCACCCTACGTCCACTTTGGTACACTCGTTCTGGTAGAAAATGTGTTCTGAGTTCCAAGCAATCAGTTTGCAGATGACCCATTTGCCAGAGGGCTGCTGTTCTTGCTGCTTAGTGCTGTCGTGGCTTAAATAGTCCTGGTGGCTTTCCAAATTTTGCTTCGCTCTTCGGGGCAGGAGGAGGCGAGCAATGCAGGGTCTGGAGTTTCAGGGAGAGAAAGAATGTGTGCAGGCAGAGAGTATTTGGGGTACTGTCCATAGTATGGCTCGTGCCTGCCTGAGGGGAGAGAGGAGTCTGGGGCATGCAGCAGGGACCAGGTCTTGGACTGAGGTCTTATGAGCCATGCTGTGGACTTTGGCCTTTGTCCCAAAGAGAGCTGGTCAGATCTGTGTTTTGGAAAGAGCACCACGTGCCTGCAGCTGTTCAGCAGTTGGAGGAGGGCTGGGTTTGGCACGGAGACCTGCTGGGATGACGGGTCACTTGGGCAGGAGGTAGTGAGGTTGAGCTCTGAAAATAAGAACCTTTGACAACTTCAAATAACAGTTGCTGATACAGCCCTGTTATCATTGGCACAGCCCTTTCAGGGGTTCACAAAATAACCCTTGATTCTTGAATGCCTTTTCTTTCTGTTCTAGAGAGGTCGATGCTGTCTTGAGGTACCTGAAACAACAGTGTCATGCCCAGAAAATTGGCGTCGTGGGATTCTGCTGGGGTGGAGCTGCTGTCCACCACTTGATGATGAAATACTCAGAGCTCAGGGCGGGGGTCTCCATCTACGGTAAATCTGCCGTGTGCATTTTTACACAGTGAAAAGGAGGAATGGTTGAGTGCTGGTAACCACAGGCTTCTCTGACCCAGTGCCACACAAAACCCAATAGTGCAGACACGGCCCATCTTAGGGAAATTGGCTTTAAGAATCTGAAAATAGGGGTGGAAATTTGCAATGCAGTTAACCAGAGGATGTCACTGGGAGGGAGGAGGCCTGAGTCCCAACAGTGTGACTTTGGGAAAGTCACCTAACCTGAGTTCTCCATTTCTTCACCTAGGATGAAGGGGATAACATTTCTTTCTGTGATGATGATTAATAGCACGTAATACTTTTATGAGCACCATCTGTGAAAATATTTTTCTGAGATATGAATTGCTCTTAACTATACACAAACACACATGCACACACTAAAGACAGAAAGAAAAGGAAAACCCACTTTAAAATATAAATAGCAACTTACACATGTTAGCCAAAGCAAACCAAAGCTATCATAGCAATAAAATAAGAACATTGTATCTGTATATAGAAATTGCATACTATGTTTATGATATAGAAGCATTCAGACCAAAAAAATGTAAAAAACACAAAAGGCACACAAGGAAATTTGGCCACCTTTTAAAATACAGATGCTCCTTGACTTATGATGGGGTTATGTCCTGGTAAACCCGTTGTAAGTTGAAAATATCATAGGTGGAAAATGCATTGAATACACCTGGCCTTAGCATAGCCTACCTTGGATGTGCTCAGAACACTTACAGCAGCCTACAGTTGGGCGAAACCATCTAACACGAAACCTATTTTATAATAAAGTGTTGAATACCTTAGGTAATTTATTGAACACTGTACTGAAAGTGGAAAACAGAATGGTTGTATGGGTCCTCGAAATGTGGTTTCTACTGAATGCATGTCGCTTTTGCACCATGATAAAGTCAAAAAATTGTAAGTCAAACCGTCGGAAGTCGGGGACCGTCTGTAGTCTATCATAATGATTTTTATTTGGCCTAATGGTTCCTCACTGTGGTATTTTCATCTACTTTTAGCATTTTTAAAAAACCCTTTAAATATTGACTTACACAAAAGAACATACACTCAGTAAGTGCCCAGTTATGAAACAGAAGCATTCAGACCATAAATGCTGCACATAAAAGAACGTGTTAAAAGCAATAAGCGCCGGGTTGCCTCTGGAACAAAGGGGCCGGCTGTCGCAGGCCCTGCAGTCAGTGCCTTTGTGCGAATTAGCAAAAGGCGCTCAGGCATGGACGCCTCTCCGGCGCCACCTCCTGGCCGCTGTTGTGCAGTACGCGAGCCGCCGCGCATGGCAGGACTCCGACCCCGGGGACGTCAAACCCGGGTCCAGCCACATGATGTGGCTTTGCCTGAGTGGAGCAGGGAGCATGGCCATCTTTTCTGTGGCTCTCCCCTTCCTAAAGAGGAGTTACAGGTGAGAGGAGGCGCTCCCTTGTTACTTAATTTTTCTGTGCTGCCGGCAGGAAGTGGAAAAAATATCAGTTATTTTTTTTCTACCTGGTCTTATCTTAAAATATAACTTACTGCAAAACTTCTACTTATTTTGCCATAGAAGTGGGCACACCCAGAGGTTGTTTTCAGACATGGGTTGGGCAGAGCATGCTTTTAATTTCAGAGTTAATCTCAAATTCTGAGGCGAAGGATGAAAACTGATTTTTATAGAATGACCTGCTAGGACCAGGCAGTTTCACACTTTCACACTTATGACCGCTCCTCTTACAGATGAAACCGCAGAGTGCACTTAAGCCGGAACTTGTGGGGCTAGTGTAGACGTGAGAAACTTCTAGAGCGACAATTTGACATTTACACCCCACACAGCCTACAAGGTCCAATTCCATTATTTAATGGCCTGATACTCATGGAATAAAGTAGACAATAGGAAGATCTGACTAATAAGGTCAGGCCACTCCTGTGGAATTGCTAGAAAAGAAAATAAAGCTCCCAAAGCGCATATTTTCACTGGGATAACTCATACCAAATGCACGTAGTTTTCCGAGGCGGGAGTGTGCAAATCATACTCTTACGCCCCTGTACTCAATTCTCAGGCATCGTCAAGGATTCTGAAGACATTTACAGTTTAAAGAACCCCACGTTGTTCATTTTTGCTGAAAATGATTCTGTGATTCCACTTGAGCAAGTAAGTTGGCCTCTTTTCTCTTCTCATTTATAAATTTAGTAGCACGATTTGGCATTTTGGGGGAAGTGGGGTGGGGGAGGGAGTCCTAAAGTTCTCATTTGTTTTCCAAATGTTTTCCAACATTAAGATTTTAATGATGGATTTTGGCTAAGCAGGGGGCCTGGCTCAGGCCTCCAGCACTTCGGGAGGCCCAGGCAAGAGGATTCAGGCAGGAGGATCACTTGAGGCCAGGAGTTCAAGACCAGCCTGGGCCACATAGTGAGACCCCCACTTCTATAAAAAATAAGACAAAATTAGTTGGTGGAAGATCCTTAGGAGGCTGAGGTAGGAGGATCACTTGAACCCAGGAGTACAAGGCTGCAGTGAGCTATGATGATGCCACTGTGCTCCAGCCTGGGCGACAGAGCAAGACCCTGTCTCTTAAAAAAAATAAATAAGTAGGCCGGGCGCGGTGGCTCATGCCTGTAATCCTAGCACTCTGGGAGGCCGAGGCGGGAGGATTGTTTGAGCTCAGGAGTTCGAAACCAGCCTGAGCAAGAGCGAGACCCTGTCTCTACTAAAAATAGAAAGAAATTAATCAGACAACTAAAAATATATAGAAAAAATTAGCCGGGCATGGTGGCGCATGCCTGTAATCCCAGCTACTCGGGAGGCTGAGGCAGAAAGATCGCTTGAGCCCAGGAGTTTGAGGTTGCTGTGAGCTAGGCTGACGCCACAGCACTCACTCTAGCCTGGGCAAAAGAGTGAGACTCTGTCTCAAAAAAAAAAAAAAAAAAAATAAGTAAAGATGTGTTTCATTAAATTTCACTTACACAGTTCCACTTAGGGTGGAATTGTGACCCCCAAAACACAATTATTTAATGCCACATCTAAAGGAAGTGTTTCAGTGTGGCCTGGTTACCTGGTGTAGGACAGGCTCTGCCCCCCGTCACCCCCCATGGTAACGCAAAAGCTGCCATAAAGCGTATGACCTTAAAGACATGGATTTGTTAAACCAGTAAATTGATCAGGAAAAAGCAGAAGGAAATGTGGTTCAAAAGCAGTCGTTTAGAAATTATTATTATTAGTAACTAATACATTCCTACAAATGATTTCAGATAATTGCTGTTGTATCATTTTTATATTGTTCTGAAATCTCTCCTTTGCTAGAGGTAAGAACTGTGTTAGTTACAAAATTAGAAGGAAAGAATTCAGTGTAGCCGTGGAACTTGTTTCTGATTTAAAACATTGATGTTAAATCTTTGTTCTCAACACTCACTGAAGATTTGGAAAATAAAAAATATTACTGAAGGGTTGAAATCATATATCCTTATGAAATCGTTTGCATACCAGGTCTCTTTGCTGACCCAGAAGTTGAAGGAACACTGCAAAGTTGCGTATCAAATTAAAACATTTTCTGGGCAAACTCACGGCTTCGTGCATCGAAAGAGAGAAGACTGTTCACCTGCAGACAAGCCCTACATTGACGAGGCGAGAAGGAATTTGCTCGAGTGGCTGAGCAAGTACATTTAGCAGCAATCAAGTGCAAACCTTCCTAAAATTGCCTTCATCCAAAAACCTGCTTTGAAATACTAGATCATTTGATTTAATTGTCACTTTATATAAAATAAATGTAGAAGCCCTGAAATTCATTATTTCATCTGAATCACAAATTCAGTAGGAAATGTTAATGTATGAAATAGTTGAATTTTTAACATGTACCTCAAATAAAAATTTAAAAACTAGGTCGCACTTGGAGAATTTGAATGAAAGAGTAATACTCTAATTATTAATATAAGCCTAGGGCTGTTCAAGGACCAGCTAGCAGCTCAGGCGTGGCCTTTCTGGTCTTTAATTGAACACATCCTTTAAAATGGTGCAGAGCCGTGAAGAACACGAGCGATAAATTGAAGTAGACTAACTGCTCAACTTAACTAGACGTTTATCTTTGTCTTAAGAGAGCTGCGTTTGTCACATTTGTATGTTGCAATATGAGAAGTATCGAGATTAAACCAGGGTTCCATTGACCTAATTATATCAAGCTCATAACCTAAGTTTTTGAATTTTTTGAGTCTGTAGCTCTTATTTTTTTCTTTTTTTAAGATAATAGAAAACAATGGGTTACGGTTAACATCCAGCTGTTGTCTCCTAGGCAGGGTTTTCCAAACACGGGCATTTTCGGGTCTGCAGGGACCAGGGCTGCGTCAGAAGTCTCGCAGGGGTTCAGCAGGGTGGTGGTGGTGCAGGGCGAGGTCGGCAAGCACCTCTGTGCCTGCACCTGCCAGGTTGGTGTGTGTGACTTTGGGTAAGTGACTCGACGTACTTATTTTTCTAATTTGGTCCTGAGGTCTGTGTCGGGAGTGGCTGTAAACGCCAGCCCCGCCCTGACAGGGCTCCAGGCTAGTCGGTCGTGGATGTTTGCAGTGTGCCTTTCGCAGGGTACTGCTTCGTCCTGGCGATGGCCTCATAACTGTGTCCAACTGTGGCCAGGTGTCCTCTCACAGGAAGCTCGTTCACGCTGGCAGAACCCTTGTGGCTCTCGTCTGACCTGTCTGTTCCCACCAAGATAGCTCTGGGAGAGCCCTGACCGGGGCACAGTTAGGTTTGGGTGTGCTGGTCGGGTGCGACACGGAGGAGGGAACTCAGTAAACACGGGAAATATCAGAGGTGATTTGTTACAGGTCCGGGAGAGAAGAGGGCAGCACAGCTCACAGGGCCAGCTGGAAACAGGGAGCCATTTTGGGTGGGGAGCAGGGGAGAGAGAGAGAGACAGACAGACAGACCTGTGGGTGGAACACTTTACCGGGGTCGAGGGCAAGCAGGTTTCCCGCGGGGAGTTCTAGTTGGTGGGTTTGGAGCAAGCAGGCACCAGCGCTGTGGGGTCACGCTGTGGCTGAGGGGGGTCACTGTGGCAAATGTCAGCATTCCGTGCGGGGTATGGGGGTCCGCGAGGCTGTCTCTAGCTGTCCTGTGGGAGGTGGGAGAGGTGGTCGCCAGGAGGCCGTGTATGAGGCAGATGTCTGGACTGACCATCTTGAGAACTGGGAAGAGGCAGAGAAATGGAAACTGAGTCGAGGGTAACTAAGCCCTGATTCTGGTAATAACATACTTTATTTAACCCAATTTATCACAGATGTTATTTCAGAATGTAATCAATATAACAAATTATGAATGGGATATTTTGCATTCTTTTTCGTGCTATGTCTTTGAAATCTGGTGTGTATATGTTTTCAGTTTTATGCTCCAGCACATCTCAATTCAGATCCTAAATTTTTTTTTCTTTTTTTTTTTTGAGACAGAGTCTTGCTCTGTCACCCAGGCTAGAGTGCAGTGGCGTCAGCCCAGCTTGCTGCAACCTCAAAGTTCTGGTCTCAAGCCACTCCTGCCTCAGCCTCCTGGGTAGCTGGGACTATAAGCATGGGCCACCACACCCGGCTAATTTTTCTGTTTTTAGTAGAGATGGAGTCTCGCTCTTGCTCAGGCTGGTCTCGAACTCCTGACCTCAAGCAATCCTCCTGCCTTGGCCTCACAGACTGCTAGGATTATAGGTCTGAGCCACACGTCTGGCCCAGATGCTAAATTTTCATCAGAAGTACTTGATTTTTCTTTAGATGTTATAAAATTTACAGTTGAAAAAAAGTAGATTCTCAAACCCATATTGTTCCAAACATATTAAAAGTTCTCCAGTAATCGGGTTTAGTACCAAAAGTCATTTCCTTTACAGTTTACCTCCCACATTGACAAAACTGGTCTATTTGTTTTTTAGAAGAATTGATTTGACTTTGAAGCAAGAGTGTATCCGTTTCAAAACAGTGTCTGTCCCAACTGAGTTCACCCACTGGCTTTGGGGTCAACTCTGTGCTGACGGCGTCGTGGTCCGGGGGTCTGTCCAGCACACGCTGCAGAGCAGCTCTGAATGTGTCAGTTTTTGTCACATATTTCTTGCTGTTTTTGCAGGGAAAGTATTTGACACTGCTTCAGTGTTTGAAGTTAATTAAAATTAAATTAGAAATTCAGCTCTCCAGGAGCACTAACCACATTGCAAGCTTCCAGAAGCCACTGGCCACATGTGCCAGTCTACACCGAGTCGAGAGGATTCTCATCCTGTTGCCTGTCCTTTGATCCTGTTCGTCCCGTGACTGCCCTGCGGTTGGTCTTTCTCAGTACAGCCCAGAGGATGTCTTTACTTGGCAAACGCCTCAAGGCCCCACGCGGAAGTGACGCTTCTCCCAGCTCACTGGCCCGAGCTAGTGTAGGGACGAGGGGAGAACTCCCCATCGCCCTCTGAAAATCACTGACGAGAGGCAGATTAATAGGAGAAAAGGCGCACAAACTTATTTACTTATAGTGACACAGGAGCCTTCAGAGTGAAGAGCCACAGATACAGGGGAAATTGTCCATTTTTGTGCTCAGGTTCAATGAAGTGTGGACAGCCATGTAGAAATAGGACTGGACAGAAAGGGTCTGATCTGACGCTAACAGACTGAGCGGGGGACCCGGCCAGGCCTGTCCCTCTGTGCAGCATCCTTCCTTCTGGGCGTGGGCAGGGTCCTCTCTGGAATAGGGATCTTATGATTGATAATCAAATAAGGTAGGTCAGATAATTTCTTTATGGCTAGTTTTTACACAGAAAGGAGGGGGAAAGTTAGAGTAATATTTTTAGCTTTTACGGCTGGCTTTGGGGAAAAGGGGTTCTTTGACCTGCGTGGGGGAAGAGGGATTCTAGTGTCTATGGCGAGCCTTGGGGGAGAATGAGGGGCAGAGACAGAGGGCAGAAGGTCAGAGCGAGCTGCTTCTGAGGACTTCGTTTTGGGGTGCCGTTTTCTGAGACCCTGCACAAGTCACAGGCCCCCACCCCACCACAGGGCACCAGGAAGTGCAATCTTACTACGGGCCCAGGAAGAGGAGCACTAACGACTATCTCAGACGGGGGAAGGAGGAAACAAGCTTTGAGAGGAAATCGAATCTAAGGGACACTGGGGAGAGATTGTCTTGGGCAGGAGGAGGATCCCCCCCCCCGCCCCGCCCTCAACACTGAGGCAAGTGTAAGAGTTTCCAGTTGCTGCTGTGACAAATTTTCATAAACAGAAACTTAAACCCCACAGATTTATCACCTCACAGTTCTGTAGCCTGAACGCCAGGTTGGCTTGGCTGGTCGCTCTGCCCTGCCATGGGCTTCACAGGCCCAAGATCTAGGGTCGGCGGGCTGGGCCGCTATGGGAAAAAGCCACTTCCAAGAGCATTCGAGTTTTTGGCAGAATTCAGTTTCTTGCATTTGCACTACCAAGGTTCCTGTTTCCTCCCTGGCTGTCAGCTGGAAGCCAGCCTTGCGTCCTGGGGCCTCTCCTCAGGCCCCACCCGCACGTGGAGCCAGTATTATTGATGTTAGAGCTGGCACTGGGGTGTAGGATCCCTCTCTGGCTGCCATCTCTCGCGTCGTCTTCTGTGGAATCCTCTTTTTCGGTGAGCCCTTAAGGGCTCAGGTGACTACACTGGCCCACCTGGATACCTGCCCTATTTTGTCAGCTGATTGGTACCCTTAGTGACATCTGCAGAGTCCCTTCACACAGTGTCTAGACTTTTGCGGGGACAGCTTTAGAATTCTGGCTACTGCAGGTCCTAAGCACAGATGAGCCGACAAGTCTGTGAGTGAGAGATCACACTGCTGCCTCAGTTCACTTTGAGGTAGGAGTCAAGGTCATCTGATGCATAAGACATCTTGGCGGGGCATGGTCACTCACGCCTCTAATCCTGGCACTCTGGGAGGCCGAGGCGGGAGGAGGATTGCTTGAGGTCAGGAGTTCAAGACCAGCGTCGGTGAGAGCGACACTCTGTCTGTACAAAAAATAGACAAATCAGGCAGGCGTGGTGGTGTGGGCCTGTGGGAGGCCGAGGCAGGAGGATCGCTTGAGCCCAGGAGCTTGAGGTTGATGTGGGCTATGATGACGCCACTGCACTCTAGCCTGGGTAGCAGAGCAAGATCCTGTTTCAAAACAAAAGGAAACAAGACATTTTGCTAAGTGCAGATTTTCAGCTGCTTATATTGAAAATATTTACTACATAAAGTTAAGTTTATGTCAAGACGTGAGTGGTATATTCAAATTATGCAGCGTCCCTTGGAATTGACGTCTAGGTTTATTACGAGGACTAAATGTATTATTAATAAATACGGTGGTTGATGTGTTAATACAGAGTTCAAATGTTCTGGTTTTGGGATTCCTTTATAATCATAAAAACTATTGAGGATCCTCAGGAGCTTTTGTTCATGTGGGTTATATTCATTAACATCTATTAGAAATTAAAACTAAGAAATTTAGAAATCATTTACTTATACATAATAACGAATGCAATAAATGTTAACATAACTTTTATGGAAAATGTATTTTCCAAAACAAAAAAGCGTGAGAAGAATCACATGACAAATCTCCTTAATGTGTGGTTTAACAGAAGATGGTTAGATTTTCATAGCTGCTTCTGTATTTAATTGTTGCAATGTGTTGTTTTAGAAGAATATGAAGAAAATCTGGCCACACACAGATGCATGTAGCTGGAAAAGGGAAACATATTTTAATTGCCTTTCATAAAAATGGATATTCATCTTCAATATTACACCAAAACTGAAGAGGTAGTTTGAATAAACTTTATTGTTACATTGGTCCATCTTGCACTTTGAAAAGATCTTGTACTTACGCATGACATTGTAACATCATACACTGACATTTGGAAAATACTGGTTTCCTGAGCAGATCTTCCAAATGTTGACACATTTTATTGTGCAATGTCAAAAATTGATCCTTTAATTCACCACCAATCTCATCGGAAATCTTGAGACGATGTTGAGCTCGTGATGGTGGATGTGAGTTTTCAAAAATTCTAGTTTTAGCTTAAAAACTAAAACTTCGTTGACAAAATAGAATACTGTCAGTTGTTCCATTGGAAGTGACAGGCTTATTTTATTCCTTTTTGTGAAAATGTCCTATCTTGTCACATACCTGAGTAACCGGTTAAGCAGCAGTCTTTAATGTAAAGTGGGGCTCCACGATGCAGCCGGAGATCGTGCCTGCTACACAGAAGTGCTTTACCTGCACGTATTGCCTCCCCAAAGGCATCTGTAGGTGAAAATGAACTTTTTCTTTTTTAAAGTAATGGCAGAGAATGACCACTAGTATTTGGTGCGACTGCTCTGACTCGTGCTAAGACGCAGTTTTACTGGCCATTTTTTGCAGCATCAATGCAAATGTCAACACAGTAAAAAAGGCAATAATCTTTTAGTTTAGGAAACTACTTTTGACCTCATGGGCCCCTTGCAAAGGTTCAGGACCCCAGGGGATCTGTGGAACATGCTTTGAAAACCAGTTTTAATGTCTCTAAAACATTGAGAACTGTGATAGGAGTGCGTGTCATTACTACCGTTGTGGCTTGTGGTGTTCTCCCAACTTTTCCAATCTTCAACACGCGGAAGCTGTTTTTGGTCCCTGTTTCTCTGGTGCTTTAGGTGACCCCCATCCTCAAGGCTGCCTGCAAGAAGCACCTAGGCTGGAGATGCACTTCTCCATGCTCACAAATTACTGATTTATTGTTCAATTACTACCACACCCCACCGTCCCCGATCCCAAACCCACAGTCCTTTAGTGGAGCTGCTCCACCAGTTGAGAAAGGAAGGATTAGAGAAACTCAGTAACACGTGGCACACTAGCCTCTCAGCCCTTCCAGAGGCATTTGTACGTCTGTGTTAGCTTGTGCAGTTTGCCCTCCGTATCCGTGCAACCAACCACCCTTGGACTGAAGGTATTTGGGAAAGAAAAATTGTGTCTGTACGACCATGTAGGCTTTTACCCTTGTCATTCATTATTCCCTGAACAGTATTAGTATGACAACTATTTACACATCACTTCCATTGTATTAGTTCTAAGTAACCTGAAGGATACAGGAGGATGTGCATAGATTACATGCAAATAATGCCATTTTATATACCGGATTCGAACACTGGTGTTTTTGGCATCTGTGGGAGGTCCTGCAACCAATACCCCACAAATACCAGGAGATGACTTGAATTAAAGACAGGACATTTAACAAACCTCAAAGAAATCCAGCTAGTGTAGGAATTGGAACCAACAGTAAAATGTTGGGTCTTGGAATCTAGCCTTGGGGTCAAGCACCGTAAGTTGCTTTTGCTACACATGGGGAAGATGGAGCCACAAGTGATACAAAACTTGAGCAATCTGGAACTTGAAGATTAAAAAAAGGTAACTCATTATCAGGAATAAGTATTTGAATGAAACAAAATTAAAAGCTCGTGAAACCTCTTAAATTCTCTCGTTCATTGACCAGTTTCTCTCAACCACAGAAAACACCAGCGATGTCTGTGAGGTTCGTTTTTGGAAGTGGGGAGGCTTTGTTTAGTTTAGTGGCTCTTCTGCTATAACCATGGACCCCTCAAGGTAAGAGTCTGGTGCAAAGGCTGCTGGAAGTTCTTTGCAGGGAAGAACCAGTCCTTGTAAACGGACTCGTTCAAACTACATCATCACTGGTATTTATCTAGGCGGGTCTGACTTTCTAAACTCCAAAGTGCTGCACCCAGGATGTAGTAGCACATTAGTGCTGCTTCACAATCCATTTTATGACTAAATAGGTTGTTATGCTCAGTAGGTTTTAAGCTTTCAATACTCAACTGTGTAGTTCCATACACACACTAACGTTAGGAAGAATGGTATAGCACTTATTCCTAAATCCACAGGTTGTTCAGCAAAGCACCCTGATGCATTAATGCAGAGAGAAAATATGACTCAAGAGTTAAGACTGGTTAAGTGTCTAGGTTTGTATGGGAAAGCAAAACTGAAATATGTCACTTAAGCCAATTCAGACAGGAAGAGTCTCCATTTCCTAATTCTAGGGAATCTGACTGGATGTAAGTGAACTTTATCACCATGACTCTCTGTAAGAAACATTCTTTCAGAAAATCCAGAGAATCACACACAAGCCATGGCAGAATGTGGCATGAGACATGATGAGAACTTTGGGGTCACACTGCCCAAGACTGACCTGGCTCTACCACCTACTGGTGATGAGATGCTGGCAAATTATCAACACTCAGATGAGTGTCTATCTGTAAGATGTGAACAGTAAGAAATGTATCTCCTTGACTAGGCTGTGGGAACTGAGACAATCTAGGTCAAGCTCTCAGCACAAGCACTGGCCCGCGGTGAGGGCAACGCCACTGTTAGCTGGCTCTACCTTAGTAAGTAGAATCAGTTCAGTCACTCTACCCACAATGCTAATTGCAAGGCATTTCTTCCCAGTCTTCAGATTCTCCCTTATTTTCTACACAATTCACTGGAACCTCCACTTACTTTGTCCCTCTGATAAAACAACTGGGTTCTTGATACTGCTGAGAGAGAATTAAAAAAAAGAGAGAACACCTGGGTTCCACGTTGCCCTTCTAAGCACCTGCTGGTGGTACAGCTCTGCACATGCTGGTTGGTTCCACACATAAGCTGACTTATGTTCAGGGTGGGGCCAGAACCAGAGTAAAGAAAAGGGGACTGTGTCAAGACTAAACTTTAAACACCAGTCTCCCTAGTGCTATAACATTTTAGGTTATGCTGGAGTAGCCTAGTAATAGCTCTTAAAACGCCTCAGACTCAATGTTTAAGGTGTTAAAATAATTCCTACAGCTTATTTTGAAAAAGATCTACTCAAACACTTTCAGTTAAGGCAGCATTTAATTAATGTTACAATAAATGTTTCTGAAACCTGAAAAGAAGATGAAGGTTGTTTAAAGAGATTCCTTTAATATAATGAATACAAAAGCGTGTGAGAAAGTACCCCCACAATTACACAGCTTTAAACAAGTGAAACTATGGTTACCAAACAGCTGCTTCTATTATAACATCTACAGCGTCTGAAAAAGGATGTAATAATAAATAACTGTAGATGCATCATGAGACACCCATTTATTTAATCGCAGTAGTGGATCTTACTACATGTTATTCTCAATTTTTTCTTTATTCTTCAGATTCTCCAGGCTTGCGAATGTCATCGATCTTCAAAATCATCCTAACCATTTGTGTTGCAAGAGATATCTGTTGCTTTTTGCCAATCAAGGTTTCTATTACATGTTGTTGCTTCATATCTGTAAAATACAAGAAAATCAATTATGCTAAAAGAGCATATTTAATTTCAATAACCAGTTCTGATTTTCTGATTTATGGGATCACAGTAAAACTTAAGAAATACAAACTGTTGGAAACCAAGCAGGAGGACACTAACCTCAGTTATATTTCATTTTCAGATGAATATGATTTTATTACTTCTAAGGACATTCTAAAATTTGAACCCAGTTAACAGAGGGCTGTTGGGGGATGGGGAGGCTGAAAGGTCAAACTTTTCAACGGCATCTCATCCCACAAAGTATCCACATCCTAACTTAGTAAATCTGAAATAAGTAAAATCTGTACTTGAAATGTAAAATATGTCCAAGACAGACCTAGAAATGCTAAATCTTAGCACAACCAGGCATTCAAGTTAAAAACATTACATATTTGTCTGACAAAGAGTTGCTTTTATTAAAACCTTGGGATGTGAGTATGAAAAGCAGAATATACCTGTATCCTTCCTAAATAAAAACAAACCGTCAGATTCTGTGGACTGATTACAGAACTCCAGACACGGCTCAATTAGTACAGAAATCCCTGGGACCACTGTTTCAATAAGCTAAAGCTATCCTACCTTTTCAGCAGTTGACTACAGAAGGGGCTACTGAAGTTACAGTATATCACATTTATAAAATACTCCACACTCTGCAGGATATAACCACA